AGGTGTAAATACTAGCTTCTTGCTAGTACAATAGCAAAATGAGTTAACATTTGGCCATACTGATATTTGTTTTAACAAAAACTCAAAGTGGATGCAAAATGCTATGTAAATCTGAGATTTCACTGCCAACTTTAAGATATCAACCTCAATAGTTATCAAATTAAAAACAAAACAGAAAACAGGATGAAACTGGAACTGGCTGAGTCCACAAAGTAAGTGATTGTCTTGGAGTTCCAGGGCTTACTCAACTACCTGGCCGTCACATCACGTCCTAAGATTTGTTAGTTTTTAAAATTATGTATGTGGCTCTTCTGGTTTTTGCAGCTTGAACAGCCAGGAGCAGCAAAGTCTCTCGTGACATCCTGTACAAGGCAGTGTGGAAGTCTTGCATGGGAATCAGCCCAGGTGCCTGCAGGTTTCTGGAAATGGTGGAACTGCAGATCAGCATGAAGAACTATGACCCTCAGAAGGACAAATGCTTTTTGGGCACCATCAGGCTTATGACTACTCCCTGCCCCAAGTTTCCTGTGTGCATCCTGGAGGACCAGAAACACTGTGATAAGGCTAAAGCCGTGGACATCCCTCATGTAGACATTGAAGCTTTGAAGAAACTCAACAAAAACAAGAAGTTGATCAAGAAGCTGGCCAAGAAATATGGTGCCTTTCTGGCCTCTGAGTCTCTGATGAAGCAGATCCCATGAATCCCGGGCCCAGGCCTGAACAAGGCTGGCAAGCTCCCTTCCTGCTGACATACAGTGAAAACATGGTGGCCAAAGCTAATGAGGTGAAGTCTACAATCAAGTTGCAGATGAAAAAGGTGCTGTGTCTGGCTGTCGCTGTTGATTATGCGAAAATGGCAGATGAGCTGGTCTATAACATCTACCTGTTTGTCAATTTCTTGGTGTTGTTGCTCAAGAAGAACCGACAATGTCCAGGCTTTATACATCAAGAGCACCATGGGCAAGCCCCAGTGCCTGTATTGGGGCTCTTCTAATAAATCCGAGTGCCACCAGAAAAAGAAAAGAAAAAAAAAAATTATGTTTGTGGGGGATGTGCACATGAATGAGAGAGGCATCTCTCCAGCCCCACACCACCTCGTTTTCACAGAACTCCAGGGCTGATGTTCTGGTTGTGACATTTAATAGCTCCCCTAAAATCCAGACCCAAACAGAAGGAAAAAACACCAGCTTGCTGGTTCTCTATAACTTTGTTTACTGTGAATGGAATAAACCCCAGTTTTTAGCAAAGACCTGTTTCTTGGCAGGTGCCCCCTTGTGACTTCTGGTGAGAAATGCCTCTGTCTGTCTGGCCTGAAAGGCCAGCAGTGGCACCGGCTGCCTATCACCACATACACCATGCCAAAGTCCTCTTTTTGGAACATGTTTCTTTGTGTATTTTATAGTCTATGATTTTACTTTTTATTTTACTTTACTTTTTTGGTCTTTTTGAGATAGCATCTCCTTGTAGCCCCAGCTGGCCTGGAACTCACTTCGTAGACCAGGCTGGCCTTGAACTCACAGAGATCCGCCTACCTCTGCCTCCCAAGTGCTGGGACTACAGGCGTGGGCCACCATGCCCAGCTGTTTTGCTTGACTTTTTTGATGTCCTGAACTTTCTGTAGCTCTTTATTTTTCTTCAATCTGTTCATTACTTCAATAGTCTTAGTCTGTAGCTCTCATTAGTATTTCATAGGTTCATTTCTGTTTTTTAAAATTCAAATGAGCTGTCCACTGTGAACTCTTTACTAGGTGCTTTCCAGAAGGCTTTTTTCTATGTGATCTTTTGAGGGTTGCACTTCTTTTTAAGGTTTTTATGACATTTGGATTCATAGAATCTGAACACCTTGCAGTTGTTGTGGACAAACATCATACCATGGCCAGGGTAGAATGGCATAGTAAAAAAAAAAAAAAAAAATGTGGTATACTACTGTAATCCTAGCACTCAGGAGGCAGAGGCAGGGAATTGAAGCAAATTTGAAGCCAACCTGATCTATATAGCAAGTTCCAAGCCAGCTAGGGTTACTTAGTGAGACCCTGTATCATAAAAAGCAGGGGGGAGGTGTTGCAGTGAGATGGTTCAGGGAGAAAGGGAACTTGGAACGAAGCCTGGTGACCTGGGTTTGAGCCTTAGAGTCCATGTGGTAGAAGGAGAAACAGTTTTCTACAAACTGTCCTTTGATTTCCACCTGTGTATTGCAGATTATGTGTGTCTACATACATACACAATTACACACACACACACACACGCACACACACAGAAACAACTAAATGTAAAAAATGTTTTTCAAATGTGACTGGAGAGATGGTTCAGTGAGTAAAGTGCTTGCTGCATAAACATGAGGCCATGGGTTTGGATCCCTGGCACCCATGTAAAAAGCTGCATCTGGCAGTGTACACTTGTAACTCCTGTGCTGAAAGGTGGACACAGGAGGATGCTTGCTGACTGGTCTAGCCAATCTGTGAGTTCCAGATTCCGTGAGAGACCCTATTTCGAAAAATAAGGTAGAAATGATAGAGGAAGACATCCGACATTGACCTCTGACTTCCACATGTACACACACCAATGCCTGAACCCATTTGTGAACTTACGCGCATACACACACACACATGATAGTACAAAGATTTCTGGTACACTCTGTCCAGATCCCCCAGTTCTTAACTTTTTAATGTTTGCTTTTCATTCTATATATACACAGATTATATGTGCTATGTTCATTTTTTTTTCTGGCTCATTTTAGAGTAATATATTAAACATTCTGTCCTGTTACTCTAAAATAATCCAGAATGGATTTGCTAAATGAAGGCCACTCTCCTGCCTCCTCACTGTGCAGGTATCAGAACAAGGAAATCATTGGTCCAGTCTACAGACCTCATTCAGGTTTTGCCAGTTGCCCAGCAATGTCCTTTATAACCACCCTCTCCTCTGTGACCCAGGAGTGAAACCAGGAGCCTGTGTTGCATTTCTTTGGTTTTTGTCTAAAACACTTTCTCAGGTCTTTGTCTTTCATGGGCCTAAGATGTTTGGAATATATACCTATTTGAATGTTTTTCCTTAAAACTAAGGGTTTGTTTAATATTTTCTCATGATTAGATTTAGATTATGCATTTTGTCAAGAATAACACAGAAGTGAGTCTGTGTTCTAAAAGCATCATATCGGGAGTCACAGGATGCTGATTTGTCCCATAAACTGATGATATTTATTTGTACTAACAGCACAGGAGGACACCAAGCCCAGGCAGAAAGTCCAGGCTCACAACCACACCTCTGTGCCCACATTGGCAGATACTTTTACTTTGGAGATTTCATGGGGGCCCAGGCACCTCTGGGAGCTAGAGCTAAAGTGGCAGGTATGCCTTAGGTCTAGGCCTTGGTTTGAACCTTTACATCATCCTCAGGCAGATTCTAAGACCCCTGAAAATGTAGACAGGAACACACTCCCTAACTTGGGGTGAGCCTTGTAGGCAAATCAATTGAGCTTGCCCCTGACTTTCTTTAGGATCTTGGGCTTAATCTCAGTGAGCCTTGATATCCTTATCACCTTCATTTTTTTTTTCTTCTTTTTGAAACAGGGTCTCTCTATAACCCCAGCTGGCCTGGAACTCACTATGTAGACCAGGCTGGCCTTAAACTCATAGAGATCCACCTGCCTCTGCCTCCCGAGTGCTGGGACTACAGGTGTGTGCCACCATGCTGCCTAAATTGTTTTTAAATTTAATTTAATTTTTTAATATTTAATTTCTTATTTTTATGTGTGTGTGTGTGTATTGCCTGCATGTAGGTTAAGTGCACCTGTGTTGTGCAAACCCTGTGGAGGACAGAAAAGGTTGTTAGATCCCCTGAAACTGGAGTTATGGACAGTTGTTAGCTGCCATGCAGGTGCTGGGATTCGAACCCAGGTCTTCTGCAAGAACAAGAACAGCTAGTGTTCTTAACCACTGAGCCATCTCTCCAGCCCCTTATTATTTTTTTAAATTTTATATGTGATTTTTTTTTGAGACGGTCTGTCTATAGCCCCAGCTGACCTGGAATTCACTATGTAGACCAGGCTGGCCTTGAACTCACAGAGTT